TGTTGCCCAGTGGTCCAAAGTCCTCTTTTCAGTTGAGAGCAAGTTTTGTATTTCATTTGGAAAGCAAGGTCCTAGAGTCTGGAGGAAGGTTGGAGAAGCTCATAGCCCAAGTTGCTTGAAGTCCAGTGTTAAGTTTCCACAGTCTGTGATGATTTGGGGTGCAATGTCATCTGCTGGTGTTGGTCCATTGTGTTTTTTGAAAACCAACGTCACTGCACCCGTTTACCAAGAAATTTTGGAGCACTTCATGCTTCCTTCTGCTGACCAGCTTTTTGAAGATGCTGATTTCATTTTCCAGCAGGATTTGGCACCTGCCCACACTGCCAAAAGCATCAAAAGTTGGTTAAATGACCATGGTGTTGGTGTGCTTGACTGGCCAGCAAACTCACCAGACCTGAACCCCATAGAGAATCTATGGGGTATTGTCAAGAGGAAAATGAGAAACAAGAGACCAAAAAATGCAGATGAGCTGAAGGCCACTGTTAAAGAAACCTGGGCTTCCATACCACTTCAGCAGTGCCACAAACTGATCACCTCCATGCCACGCCGAATTGAGGCAGTAATTAAAGCAAAAGGAGCCCCTACCAAGTATTGAGTACATGTACAGTAAATGAGCATACTTTCCAGAAGGCCAACAATTCACTAAAAATGTTTTTTAATTGGTCTTATGAAGTATTCTAATTTGTTGAGATAGTGAATTGGTGGGTTTTTGTTAAATGTGAGCCAAAATCATCACAATGAAAAGAACCAAAGACTTAAACTACTTCAGTCTGTGTGCATTGAATTTATTTAATACACGAGTTTCACAATTTGAGTTGAATTACTGAAATAAATGAACTTTTCCATGACATTCTAATTTATTGAGATGCACCTGTATATAATGCACAGTATGAAAAATTTATATTCATTTTGAGATTTGCTAAAGATGACATTTAACAGTATAATGAAGTAAAAAAAAAAAAACCCAATTTGCAAATATAATGCATGTTCGACTTACTTAAAATGTATGCTTTCTTTTAACTCTTTCCAAAAAAATGACTTTTCAATTTTCGAAAAAAATCCAGCTTGCCTTTTTTTTTATACATCAAAGTTGAAGAGGTGACCACTGGCTGTCAGGCTCCAAAAATAACCATGAAAGTTTTCTGTTTGACTCTTCTGCTACTGTGTGAGGCTATTATGTTGCTTTCATAACAGAATTCTCATTTATGGTTCAAGTGTCTCTTTAAGTAATCTATTTGACGTGATTTCTCATTTCTAGCCATCATAGATGAAGATAGAATCCCAGTTGGGGGGCAGCCTGGTTAGGAGGCCTGGCGCAGTGATCAAGCAGACA